ATTAGAACCCCGTCACAGAGAGACATAAAACATTTTGTGGAGCAGGGTTTTGTTCATGATCTGTTTGATTGGGGAAAAATCGATCTGTGTGCTGATGTAGAAACTGCATGGTCTTATTTTTATCTTGGTTTTATGGAGATCATTGATAGACATGCACCCCTGCGTACATTTAGAGTGAAGGGACGAGACAATCCTTGGTTTTCTGCTGAACTGTCCAGTCTCCTTCATGAGAGAAACAAGGCCTGGGCAAAGGCTAGGAGATCAGGCTCAGAGGTAGAGTGGCTGCGTTTTAGGCAGCTAAGGAATAGCTTCACTTCAAATGTCAAAAGTGCAAAGTCGAAGTACTATTTGTCAGTTTCTACAGAAAACCTAAATAATCCTAGGACATTTTGGAAAGCCATAAAATCGATATCCACCGGTGAGATCCGTAATGAGCTACCTCCGTGCCTCACCACAGCATCTGGCTCTATATCGGACAGGGCTACTATGCTAAATTGCTTTAATGAGCATTTTGTGTCCTGCGGTTCTATGTTTGATTCTGTGACTAACTCTGCTTCTGTGAACACCCCAATCCTTGACTCTGAAAAACGTGTGTTGGAAAACCCTTTCAGTTTTACTCCTTTTACTGTTAATGTTGTTCATGAAGCCTTAACCAAGCTAGATCCTAAGAAACCGGCTGGTCCGGACAACGTAGAACCTTTCTTTTTAAAGATAGCTGCAGATGTTATTGCTCTTCCTCTCACTACTCTTTTTAACCTCTCCCTCAGCACAAATGCAATTCCAAAAGTATGGAAGTCAGCGTATGTCCTGCCTTTACTAAAAGGAGGGGAGGCAACTATTTTAAATAACTATAGGCCAATCTCTAAATTGTCAGTTCTGGCAAAGGTTCTTGAACGCCTAGTGAGTGAACAGGTAAAGGAGTTTTTATGTAAAATGACATCCTGTCTAAACATCAGTCAGGCTTCAGAAAGCAACACAGCACCATCACTGCCACAATGAAAGTGCTGAATGACATTACGAGTATCTTAGATAATAAGCAGAGTTGTGCAGCTCTATTTATTGACCTGTCCAAAGCGTTTGATACCGTCGATCATCGCATCTTAAAGCAGAGGCTACTCAGTATCGGCATATCCAGCCATGCAGTGGGTGGTTTGTGAACTACCTCTCTGAAAGGTCCCAATGTGTTCACTTTGATGGGCTGTCTTCTGAGTGGTTAAACATTGCTAATGGTGTTCCTCAAGGTTCTGTGTTAGGTCCGCTTTTATTCTCCATATCAACAGTTTAGGTGAAAATGTGGATGAAGCTACTTTACATTTTTATGCGGATGATACCGTGATGTTCTGTGCAGGTCCCTCCATTCAGGAGGCTGGTGTTAAATTACAGGCTGTTTTTAACATTATTCAGACTCAGCTCTCTGAACTAAAGCTTCTTTTAAATGTTGATACAACCAAGGTAATGCTATTTTCTAAAGCTAAAAAGACACCAGAGCCTGTTTTATATATTGATACTATGCAAGGACAAGTACTTGAAGCTTAAAAAGCTGAGGGTTAGACTAGGTTTCTTTTTCAGAAACAAGTCCTGTTTCTTGCTTGAAGCCAGGAAAAGGCTCTGTGACCTTTTGACCTGTGCTGGACTATGGTGATTTGTTGTATATGAATGCACCTGCCCATTGCCTGAACAAGTTAGATGCTGCCTATCACAGCGCACTGAGATTTGTCACTAATTGTAAAGCACTCACTCATCACTGTACCCTGTATGCCAAGGCAGGTCTGCCTTCACTTACTGTAAAGAGCCTCAGTCATTGGTACACGTTTATTTATAAAGCTTTGTTGGGTAAACTCCCGTATTCTATCTGCTCTCTGATAACACAGAGAGTTGCAAGCAGCTATGGTCTGAGATGGCATGATGTAGTCTTGTTAGATGTGCCAAGAGCAAGGACTGTCTTAGGTAAGACAGCTTTTATGTGCAGCTCCACTTGCTTGGAACAATCTTCAGCAAGAATTGAAACTGAGCGATCTCATTCCTCTGCATGTTTTTAAAGCTAGGCTAAATGAAATGCTCGTTGATACTATGGGCACTTGTAAATGTCTATAACTATGTAAATGTATCCTGTAAATATAATGATGTCCTTTATTGTTTTATGTTTCATGTGGAACCTATTTGCTGCAGGTCTCCCTTGAAAAAGAGATCTATGATCTCAATGGGACCAATCTGGTTAAATAAAGGTTTGAAATGAAAAAAATTAAATGTGTCGTTAAGAGAAAAAAAACATATATAAGTCGCATTTATCCACTGAAGTATTCCTCCTCCGGTGGAAGTGTTTAACAGCGACACAGAGGTGTGATGAAGCTGCTGTCCTCAGACTCTCCATCAGAATCAGGAGGATTTTGTTTTGTTGGTGTAAATCAGATTTCCAAGCAAGATGGAAAGAAATTGAAGAGAGGGTGTTTGGGGCAGTCCCAATTAGGGCTGCAACAACGAATCGATAAAATCGATAGCGAAAAAAGTTGGCAACAAATTCAGTTACCGATTTGTTGGGTCTATGTTAAACAAATACTTCTATACTAAACAAACTAACGACTAACTTGACTTATTTTAACTTATTTAAACTATGCCAATTTATTAATTCAGCTATTTCAGAGTGAGTTTGTGTGTGTGTAAGAAAGTGTAACTGCAGAGGCAATCTACCTATTTGTTGCAGCAAAGCCTGTTAACACTTGTTTGTGATTCACATCTTTATTTCCATTGTTTTTGTTCGAGCAACCTAAAGAGACATTTTTTTTTTTCAAAACAAGCTGTTATATAGCTTTGGCATGTTTTTTATAGCATACATTTGGGTTGTTTTTGAGTGATGATGTTGTCCATTTGGAAACACAGTTTTCTGAATAAAATAGAAAACTTTTTTTGGGCGCGTTTCTTATCCGATGAATCGATGAATCTAAATAGTTGTTAGTTCTTCCAGCTGCTGGAGTAATTTGCAGGAAGCAAACCAATACCACATGCTCTGGGACTTCCCATTAGTAAACACTTTCTGGCATAAGGTTTATAAATAAATTGTCATCATATTTGGAACAAACATTTATTTTGTTCTCTTCTTCGGTTTTCTGCACTAAAGATCCACAAATATTAAAACAAAATACTTATTTGGGATGTTGAGTGTAGCTGCCAGGAAAGCACCACAAAGAAATGGCTCAAAACAAATCTATAGATGATTGGTACGATATCATTTATGAAATCGTTGTAATGGAAAGAATAACCTTCTCCATTTGGGAGAAATGGAAAGTGTATATTACCCGATACGCCCTTCTTTTGTTTAACTGTTAATATTTTATTTAATGATCTATACCAGGGGTGCCCAACCAGTCGATCGCGATCGACCGGTCGATCGCGGGGAGATTCCCAGTCGATCGCGAGATGTGTCTAAAAATAGAACAACAACATTCTGTTTTATCGTTAATGTCCTATAACATAATCTTCCCGTGCCAGAATAATGCACTTGAACGCATCAAAGCTTTGTGATTGGCCGGCGTGACCCCATGTGTCGGGGCGTGGCTGGTGGGCAGTGGGCACTATTTCGCTGACGTTGTCCGTGTCAACAGGAGTGACAGTCCGCACACACACAAGACCGCAATTATGGCAGAAGCAAAACAGCCCAAAATATATAATTTTCACTCCGAGTGGGAGGATGATTATTTTTGTATCTATTCCAATTCAAAGTCCATCTGTCTCATCTGCAATGCGAGCGTGGCTTTATCGAAGAAGGGTAATTTAGGAGCGGCATTTCAAAACAGTGCACAAACGCTACGAGACGGAATTCCCTCCTAACTCTGCCCTACGCTCCAAAAGGGGAGGGGCCTGAGAGCACAGCTAAATGCACAGCAGTCCATTTCCACCAGGCCCAACAACAAGAGCAAGGCTGCTACCAGAGCATCTTATCGTGTCAGTCACGTTCTTGAGAAACACATGAAGTCTTTCAAAGACGGCGAAGTTGTGAAAGAAGCTTTCCTGGAGGCTGCCGACACGCTTTTGGTGGACAGTAAAAATAACAGAAGCATTTCAACAGGTTTTTGATATAATAAAAACTCAAGTTAGATACCGTTATTAATCAGCTGTAAGTTTTTGTTTGTTTGAACTTATTCATTACAATTATTGAACAAAATGGTATAAGAATGCAAACATTAAGATCTGTTCTGTTTAAATTGATTTTAGTCTATTATCAATTCAGGTTAAGAAGCTAGTGTTGCTTGCATCCTATTTTAAAGGCATTTCTTTTTATAATCTACTAAAATGCAATAAAAAAAGGGTTCGATTCTATTAATTTTGTCTTTTTTATTGCACGTTGGCAGCAGATTCCTGTAGCTTCAGATCTCAGTTGTCTTATTAGTAAGCCTAATTTATACTTTTGTAGCAACACTATTTTTATATAATGGCAAAGAAAGGGTTCAGAGTCTTTTCTTTTTTTCCTGTGTCATATGTGGCAGCACTGTTCAATGTTTCTTGAAAACATTACCCACTGTAGTGATGTGTGAATAAACTCCAACTCTGTATCAACAACACTGTTGTGTAACTTCAGTTAAATACTTGTATGTGTGTAGATTAGAAAGAGGTAAGATAAAGGATCTGCAGTATTTTATGAAGTATTCATCGTACAAAGGTCAGTTTTATAAAAGTAGAAGTGTGTATTCACCTGGTAGTAGGCTGTCAGTAACTACGTCTCTCTATTTGGACTGGTAGATCTCGGAAGACTGGCAACTTTAAAAGTAGCTCTCGGTTAAAAAAAGGTTGGGCACCCCTGATCTATACTGTCAATGTTTTATATTGAAAACAAAACACTCCTTGTTCTTGTGTGTTTATTGTTGTTGTTTTGTTAAGAAAAAGAAAAAATATGGACCACTCTGTAAAACTATTTAACTACATATGTATATGTACACTGAGGTTGAAATGTGATCCAAAAAAAATAAAAATAAATATTAAACATTTTTTCCGTTAAACCCTCTTACCGCTCTGCAGACGCTCAGCCAGCTCCTCCTGCTTCATGCTCCTCAGGAAGTGCAGGGTGATGTTCTGAAATGCCTCTCTGCTGCTCCTCTGCTCTTCATCCTCACCGTCCAACACCTCCTCATCCTCCCTCTGACTCTCTATGAATTCTGGGTAATCTGAACTCAGAGCCCTCTGGATCTTCTTCAGCTCGTTCTTCACAAAAGTGATGATGTTCTCCTCCAGCAGCTGGAACAGGTTGATGAACAGTTAATTTAAAGAAGACAACATGTGATCATCTGTCCGTCTGAAGGCCTGCTGGTCTAAACAGAGCAGCATGGACACAGTCAGGACCTGAATGGTAGTTCATAGTAAATGTATATTTGTACACACCATAAATATGGAGTTGATTACATATTATAAAATGGAATAATTCAATGTATACGACAGTCCATCCATCCATCCTTCCATCTTCTCCCGCTTATCCGTGGTCGGGTCTCGGGGGTAGCAGTTCCAGCAGAGAGCCCCAAACTTTCTTTTCCCTGGCGACATCAACCAGCTCTGACTGGGGGATCCCAAGGCGCTCCCAGGCCAGCGAAGAGATATAATCCCTCCACCTGGTCCTAGGTCTACCCCTTGGTCTCTTCCCAGCTGGACGTGCCTGGAACACCTCCCTAGGGAGGCGCCCAGGTGGCATCCTTACTAGGTGCCCGAACCACCTCAACTGGCTCCTTTCGACGTGAAGGCTAAGTGTCATAGCTAAATGTGTTACGTCTAAAGGTGTGTTTTGCTCCGCTCTCCGGTCCCTCACAGCGGTCACAGCTGCAGGTGCTGATCTCTCTCTCTCTCTCTTGCGTCCGGTTATACTTCACTCGCGTTTATGTCCAAATCCATCAGATCTAGCTAGTTCTAGCCAATGATATGGCTGCTGCCCCTCCCTACACGCAGATCACGCAGACTCAAACCTCATCTTAGGCCCAAATGCGGCGCAAATGCGCTCCGCAGCCGTTGCGAGGTTCCGGCGCTAACAGTTCATGAGCGTGCTCCCCCGCCCCCTGTCAACACTCGCGACACATGAGTGGCCAGCCTAAGCAACAAGAAGCGCTGCTTGGCAACCGTGTGTGGCGGCAAAGTGCATAGACATTTTGACAGGAGAGATTTAGTTTTGCCGGTATTCAACATATTTTACCAGTCATAGTCCGGTAATTATTTACACTCTAAGAAGAGTCCTACACAACAGACATGGCGTCAAAAAGGAGTAATGTGTGGAAATATTTCGACCAGGTTAATGAGTGCGGTGTAGAGGTCAAACTATGCCAAATTAAACTTATATATACATGCTATACCCGCAACCTCCGTTCCAGCTGAGAGGGTCTTCTCTACAGCTGGCCTGATTGTGAATCGCCTCCACACCCGCATCTCCCCTGAGCATGTAGACATGCTCATATTTTTAAACAAGGATGAGTAGCCTATTGAATAGCTGCATTCTGTGCATAGGCCCTGTTATAGGTTTTTTATGTTTTAAGCATGAAAGCTGTAGGCCTATAGCTGTCAAACTGTGATCACCAGTTCAATACATTTGACAAATTCAACTTGGTTTCTACACTTATTTGAACATGTATGTATTTATTTCCAATAACTTACATGTTATGTACATTTCGGTTAACCGTTTTTTGGGGGGTCGAATATTCGAATATACATTTGCTTTCAAATTCCCATCCCTACTGGAGGAGGCGCTATAAAACCAGAAACATCACTAAGTAGGGCTGTGCAATTAATCGTATTTTAATCGCTATTACGATTATGGTTTGCGACGATTATGAAAACAGCATAATTGACAAAATACGATTATTTTGCTGGGTGCGCTTTCGCCCCTCCCTAAAAGCCCACTCGGCCACGTGGGAGTGACATGTGTTGTGAGTGTTCAGCGCGAGCGAAGATGTCAGAACAAGAGCAGCAACTCGTTAAAAAGAAGGGTAAAACTATTTCCACTATTTGCAAGTACTTTGCCATTACATTCCACATCGCTAAAGATATGTGCCCAGTTAGCCCTGTTAGCAACCAGGGCTTTAAGCAACTTGTCAACACGTTGGACAAGCGTTACGCGATGCCGTCTCGGTATTATTTCAGCAGGTCTGCGCTGCCTGCACTATGTGACAAATGCCGTGGGGAAGTTGAGAGAGATGTGGCTTCAGCTGACTACTTTGCGACCACAACAGACCTATGGTCTAGCCCAGGGGTGCCCAACCAGTCGATCGCGAGATGTGTCTAAAAATAGAACAACAATATTCTGTTTTATCGTTAATGTCCTGTAACATAATCTTCCTGTGCCAGAATAATGCACTTGAACGCATCAAAGCTTTGTGATTGGCCGGCGTCACCCCTGTGTCGGGGCGTGGCTGAGGGTCTTCAGTACAGGTGGCAATATTGTCACCTGCCTGCGCTCATCTCTGAAACCAGACCATGTCAACAGGCTGGTGTTTCTTGCGAACAATCTTTAAGAGATGACACGAGCAGCCCTACCAGCATTTGCCATGGTGGCCTAGACATTTTTATTTGGTCTTAAAATTGTAGTTCAACATTTATTTCCTGTTACTTCTGGACCATGACGGTTGGCCAGCCTTCAACGTTTAACTGAGTGGAATATGTTGAATATGTTTTACCAAAATGTTGGCTATATGTTAAGGAGTTTTCAGTAGGTTGGGACATTGCACTGCAACATATTTGATTTCATTTATTTTGGTCTAATTTATTTTTATTTATCATATTAATAATATATGTTTAGTATGGTTTTGGAAGTGCGCTCCAACATATTTGTTGATCTTGTTTATTGGTAAAATATTATTTGTTTTAAAGTTCAATAAATGGTCAATGAATAATCGTCAAAATAATCGTGATATCAATTATTGACCCAAATAATCGTCATTATGATTTTTGCCATAATCGCACAGCCCTATCACTAAGGCCTAAAAGCGTCCTAGTGTCAGAAGCCTCAAAGCAGCAGCTGATGGTGTTTGAACTGATTGGGAAGAACGAAGCCGCACACTCAGGGGTAGAGCCAAAGAAGTGCCAAAAACTGCAGTTCTGCGAGTGGCTGCATGAGGCTGACTGAGAAGAGAGCAATCTCCATGGACCCCATTTTAAAATGCCCAACTTTACAGCAGAAATAAACCCTGGTACAAAAAACGTTTGTTTGTCCCTTCAAAACAACTGTGTGGGTGCTGATTTTTTTATAACTCAATCATATTTATTAAATTAAGCCTTAAAGTTATGCATAAAGTAGGGCATGGTCACCTTGAGTGACAGGTCTCTACAGTGACGGCTGCTGCTTTCTGACTCTCTGCTAGCGACTCCGTGCTTCTGGCTGCTACAGGCTGCTCAGCTGATCCGGAGAAAAGCACTTGAACTCGGCTATGTTTCTTGTGTCTGGTGGATTACTCTTCATGTAAATATTGGACTTATCTTATGGCTCGCTCTAAGGTTAAAAAATACTGTCCATGAATACGGTTTCGTTGGTAAGTGAAATTCTAGTACTTTATTTCTTACTGTTGATTTTGTTCAGCTAACGTAGCCTTGGGTTAGCATTCGAGCGAGATGTAGCTACATTTGTGCTAACAATGCTAATGTTAGCATCGAAGTTAAAAATGTAATAGATAACTGTTTAACAGTAACAGCCCCTACACACGGCGGCGTGCGTTGCCGCTTGGCAGTGGGCGTGTCTTGAGCTTGGGGAGTTTACGCGAGCAACGCGACCAACAACCAATCACATGAATCTCTCCTGTCAATTGCATAAAAGGTTTTACATGTCACACTTAATATGATGAACATTTATGACATTAATGTCTATGGTGCTATTTTACGCAACATTCCATGCTGGCTAAATACTGTCTATCTGCTAGTTGTCCAACGAAGTACACTGGATATAAACTCCCCAAACAGGCGAAAACCTACCAGTTTCACCCACTGTCTCTGCCACCTCCCTCCATGCCTGGCTCCTCCGGTTTGTATCCCGGTAGGTGAACAGGGACTGATCATAAAGCACCGGGTGATTCACAACCGCTACGATTATTTTCTACTCCATTTTTTGGCATATGAGGAAATGAACTGCGGTCTGGCTCTCCCAGCATACACGCGGTTTGATTGGCTAGCGCTTGTACTGGCAGATTTGCATACGCGGGATTTGATTGGCTGACGCCTCTGTCGAGGCTTCAAAAGTAGAACATTGCTCTACTTTTGCCGCGAGCACCGCGAGAAAAGCTACGCTTTGCTCCCACAATGCATTTCGGCGAAGAGTGACGTCACCCCATTCAAAGTGAATGGACAGAAGCGTTTAAGAGTCAACGCACGCCGCCGTGTGTAGGGGCCGTAAGAGGGATAGCACTGTACAACAAAAGGCTTCTGTGTGAGATTTGTAAAACAAGCTCATCATCGTAAATTAGATAGTTAGTTTCCTTATACTGCACTATTAGGGAGGATTAATGGAGAGGATTTAAGCAGCGTTGGGGAGTTTTAGATAATAAAAATAAAAAAGTACATACTCATAAATTCTTACCTTTCATCAGCACTTTGTCCAGATTTAAAGTATATAGGTTTGTCCATAGAAAAGTCACTCTTCATGGACACACAGCTGGGTCCAGGTCTCTGGTGCTGCATCCTGATAAAGAACAGAGTAATAAAAACACCAGACACCTCACGCCGCCCTTCATGTCATTAACAGCTCGCTGCCATCAGACAGATGAAAGATAAGTCTAATACAATTTACTTCCAGAACACGTCTCCTTGGTTCTGACAGCAACGTTTCTGATTGGCCCGTGGGTGTAAAGCCCGCCCACATTTTAGTAATGTCGTCATGACGCAGCAAATCTTGATCAGCTCCGTTGTTCCCCGTTTTTAGAGATGTGGGTATGGAGGAGAAGAGAGAGGGTTTATTTCTGACACTTTGTGAGTCTCCTGACACACCGGGGACACACCGGGGACACACCATGGACACACCGGAGACACACCGGGGACACACCGGGGACACACCAGGGACACACCATGGACACACCGGGGACACACCGGGGACACACCGGGGACACACCAGGGACACACCATGGACACACCGGGGACACACCGGAGACACACCGGGGACACACCGGGGACACACCATGGACACACCGGGGACACACCAGGGACACACCATGGACACACCATGGACACACCGGGGACACACCATGGACACACCGGGGACACACCATGGACACACCGGGGACACACCGGGGACACACCATGGACACACCGGGGACACACCGGGGACACACCGGGGACACACCATGGACACACCGGGGACACACCATGGACACACCGGGGACACACCAGGGACACACCATGGACACACCGGGGACACACCGGGGACACACCATGGACACACGGGGACACACCGGACACACAGACGGGGGACACACCATGGACACACCGGGGACACACCATGGCACATGGGACACACCGGGGACACACGGGGGACACACCGGGGGACACACCAGGGACACACCAGGGGACACACAGGGACACACCAGGGACACACCCATGGACACACCGGGGACACACCAGGGACACACCATGGACACACCGGGGACACACCAGGGACACACCATGGACACACCGGGGACACACCAGGGACACACCATGGACACACCGGGGACACACCAGGGACACACCAGGGACACACCATGGACACACCATGGACACACCGGGGACACACCAAGGACACACCATGGACACACCGGGGACACACCATGGACACACCGGGGGACACACCATGGACACACCGGGGACACACCAGGGACACACCATGGACACACCGGGGACACACCAGGGGACACACCATGGACACACCGGGGACACACCAGGGACACACCATGGACACACCGGGGACACACCAGGGACACACCATGGACACATCGGGGACACATGTGTAAGGGATAATGTGCAGCGAGGCGGTCATTATGGGGAAATTATGGGACCCGACGCGAAGCGGAGGGATCTAGATCGGCATGAAGGCACATTATGCAACGTGCACATTATCCCGCTTATTACACGGCCACATTCTCAACAAAGTAACGATAAGACTCCCAATATTAATTGAAATGCTTTTATGGATTTAGAAAATAGTTGTATGTATTGATTTAAATTGACATGCATCCGCTAAGAAAAATAGTCCGTTGTTACCGTTTGAACTAACGTAGCAACGGCAGGAACTGCTTCCATAGCATTTTTGAGGAGCTTTTTGATTACAGATTTGAAAACATCGTTGCTTGCTTTAAAAGTAGCACAATTCATTATGTCAAACCTTGGAAAGTATCTAGGTATCCCTGCCTAATGCCAAAGGAACTACTGAATATGTGTCGCCGTTTGATGTCTATGTCTGGACCGCTGCGTAAAAAGGAAGGCCCGTTACTTCTCCGCCTTCTTGGAGCCTGGAGCGGGACTTACTCTTCTCCAAATAGGAACAGATAGAAACGAAGTCCGGGTTTACATTCTTACCTTTCATCAGCACTTTGTCCAGATTGAAAGTATGTAGGTTTGTCCATAGACCAGTCACTCTTCATGGACTCACAGCTGGGTCCAGGTCTCTGGTGCTGCATCCTGATAAAGAACAGAGTAATAAAAACACCAGACACCTCACGCCGCCCTTCATGTCATTAACAGCTCGCTGCCATCAGACAGATGAAAGATAAGTCTAATACAATTTATGTTTAATGCCTTCATTTGGTAGAGTTTTCTTTCTTTGCCAATTATATAATTCATATTAGAAATAGATTTGAAAGCTCTCCTATTAGTCTATATATGAACAATATATTATAGACAGGGGTGCACATAACTTGTTTGCCCTGGTTCTCAAAGGAGCACCTGGAGATGTTGCTTGGTGCTCATCCTTAAAATGAAATAAACCGTAACTTTTGAGGGGTCTTGACTTTATTTGCCAGACACACGGCACTGAACACACATGCAGAGGTGAACACAGAACACACATGCAGAGGTGAACACAAGACAATATTAGCACGACCAGTAATCCTACAAGCTGTCATCACTACCCTCCTGACTGTTCTCCTCACTGTCTTCCTCTCTGTCAGACATGGTAGCTGATGATGTAGGCCTACTTCTTTCTCTCTGGTTGAGTCTGCGATTAGCTGCTTGCATCCACAAGTCAACAGCTGGGTTTGGGTCGAAAGTCTCTGTTGTCATCTTAGACAAGTGGATGTAATCAAATAAGTATGTGAACATAACCAATAACCTACCATAGCCAATAACAAATTAATGGAACTTATTTTATTTGTGTTGTTCATTCATATCTTATTTTACCTTAACATTTATTTATTTATGCATTTTTTTGTATCTCTCCAGTTTTAAAGGATATTTTTGGTTACTGTCCTATAGTATACATTGGAATGATTTAAAACCTGTTTATCCCAATAATTATAAAGGAGTGCCTTGGAAATATGTGTTTACATAAATTGCGACCAAACCGTTTGAACTTAGACTTTACCTCACTGAGCTGTAGTTATCAGTCTGAATGGAGAGGACTCTCCCTCCACATTATTGTAGAAACATCTTCTTCTTATATCCGTTAGAGCAGCTAGCACGGCACCAGATTCTAATAACAACAGCGCTGGCCTGGTACCGGTGCACCCTCCCTCGCTCACTCGCATTTTGGCTGTGAGCTGCGGGCGCCAGATAAGCCAACATCCCCCATTTTCATCACTTACAGTGCCCATCATACAGGGCAAATGAAACGTGTAACCGGGGTGAAAAGGGTGTTACATTTACTTAATTGTGAATATTGTTACATCAAGGCCAAGAATTAGGATGAGCCCCAACGGTCAAAATGGTTTTTTCCCTCCCAGAACTGCCAGCGCAGCGCCTCCACAGATCTGGCGCCCTAGGCGAACATCTAGCTAGTGCTACGGGCCGACCCTGAGTTCATATCATGGTTCATACATGTATGCAACTCGCAAATATCTTTCTTTCTCTCTCTCTTCTCTCTCTCTATTTTCTCTTTTCCCTTCTCTCTCTCCCTCTCTCCCTCTCTCAATGTTGGTACGCAAATGCGCTTTGTTTCAAATGACCCGGTGCTCTTTTTTTGGCGGAGGTGCGCATGCGCACCTGCGCACCAGTTATGTGCAGCCCTGATTATAGAGCCATTTCTATACAAAACATGTCTCTGACCTGTTTTGCTCAAAATACCAAACAGTACACCCATTGTAGCCTCAAACCCCTCTATTTCAGCCTGTTACTAAAGTGCTGATTCTGGGTCCGGCCCTTTTAAATGTAACCGAGCTGCTGCTGGCCACGCCCCCTTTGGAGCATCCACATGCAAGCAGTGAGCTCTGTGAAGAGAGAGGTTTCTCCCAGCAGAAACTCAGCTAAATGCTGCCGTGATGAAACTCCATATCATGTTCCAAACCACATCAAGGATTCTCTCTGAAACAGGATGGAGCTCAAACTCTTTCTCACTCTCAGGTTTACTACAAGGTGACTTCCTTTTTATTTCCTGCTTCTTCACACACTCTCTCTAGTACAGATTAGCTCTGAGTGTTAGCATGCTAATGGTAACACAGACCATATAGAGAGCTGAAGTCCCTCCCCTTTCGGTTGAGCTCCATGGGACCTTATTTCAGAAAAAGTATGTATTGAAGTCAATGGAGAGAGAAAGATTATCTCTCGATCCCGTTTGAATTGTGCCACGAATTACACGAATTACACATATGATGTTTGTCAATTGAAAAGATAATTTTGCAAGTCAAAAAAATAAAAATGTGTCGTAAAACTTTTTTTCAAAAAAAAAAAGTGCATTAACAAACCGTTAAAGAGCTCCAATGTAACAAAGAGGTAGTACTATAGCAATACTATTTTTTCACTTTTCAAGTAATAACAAAAAAAAAAGTATACGTTTTGGTCACATTTGACCTGACACATTACAAAGTTCATTTAAATGAATACAAAAAGAACTGTCAAACCCTTCAGTGCACAAACCCATAACAAGGGATAAGGGTAAATAACATGAATGAATACTACACTACACGTCTACTATAGTAAACTAGGTGCTTACTATCACCTCATTTGTGATTTGTCATCGCTGACTTTCTCAATGGGAGAAGTGACATTTTTTGTTTTGAACAAGAGCAGTGATGTTTGGCTCATAGGATGTCAATGCAATCCTAAGACATTGGTGAAGAGTGCTGTCAGTCAGGGAGCAGCGAGTGCTACTTTTCTTTTAGTTCATGTGAAAAGCTTGACTCACATGTGTATGTTGATCCAAACATACTGAGCACACAGATCGCTACTTTCTGAACGTTAGGGAACTGCTGTTTTTTGACATCACTCCAAAACTTCGCTGGCCCGTTAGTGCGCTGCTCTTGTGCCATGGTTACGGATGAATGCATGTCAATAAGTTCCAGTGTAAATGTCCCCTCGTCGATGGAGGGGACCACTTCCTTTGCTCTGGTTGATACGTCCCCCTCTATTGCAACAGTGAAGGGGTCTCTGGCAAAGCCCATCACCTCTGTGAGCAGAGCAAGTCCATCCAATCGACCGGCAAAGTTCTCTTTCAACCTCACAATGAAATGTCATCACATCCGTGATTTGTGCCGGGGATGTGATGTGTTTGTGGAGCGTCGGAAAATGCAGCATCCGACCCGTACTCAAGTCGGTCGCGAAAAGGTCCAGCTTGACTTGGAATGCGCGCATCTGCTCCACAAGATCAATGACCGTTTTGTCTCTGTTTACGCTTCAGAGTTGAGAGAGACATGTTTTAGAGTTGCTATCATAGGACCACCGTTACTAGCACCACTAGATGCACTTTCAAAAAACGTGCTGCCTTGTGGTTTAGTGGTTTCTATGCAACGCGGAGTGTTGCGTTCATGGTCTGTACTAGTGTAGGGATTTGGCTACGGGAGGCTGGGCCACTCGGGAGTTGGTTCTGGGCCGCATCTGGCCCGCGGGCCGCCATTTGAATAGGCCTGCTATATACCTACATAATCTATGGAGTCTCAGCTTTAATCGGATATCTTGTATGTGCAGCTACGATAAGTAATAAGGGTACTTTTATCTTGAGTTCTGTGCCAATGTCCGTTAGCATTTTTCGCTCAGGGGTCATTTAGATGCTTCTTGTGAGACTTGTGTTTTGTTTTGGTAAACATGGTTTGTATCGTCAATTAGCTGAGATTATTTCCGTTAATCTGGTAGAACACATTAATAGGCCAGGGGTAGACATTAAGGGTAAAAAGCCACTGGCCCTCCGGGACGGTGGAATTGTATTGTCACTGGTCCCACCATTGTAACCACTGGCCCGGAGCATTCGTCCGAAAAAAATCGACTAATAATGAAGAAAATTAACACATTTGTTGCAATAGTAATGTCTGCACAAACTACATTACTACTTGTACTACAACATTTGAACAATCAGTTCTTCCTCATTTTCCTCAATTGTTCATATTTGGTTTATTAAAATAATGATATTGTGGTCATTGTTAAAAAATGTCTGCTATTATGAGTATTATTATTTGTATAATGCACTTTCTGCCTTCCTGTCATTAGGAGTTAGAAATGTAATGGCTATAGATTAGATTAGATTAGAACCTTCATTATCCTAAACGTCTGGGACATTTCCCTCTAGCCAATACCTTTATATTGTCTACTCTTCACTTACTTGTCAGCATAGGTCGGCATTGATGTACAGAGCCGACAGAAGACCTTGTTTATATTGGCATCATATTGAGAGGTGCAGCCAGTGACGCGTCCTAAAACCAGGAAGTAAGCTGCTGGTTCCCTCGACAAAAAGCAATGGGATTTCTCCACAGGGTTTTGGAAAATAGCGGGAAATAAGGTCTGTGGAAAACAAACCTGTTTGATAAATGCACGTTTTGTTCAGCCGGATAATCTCCACATGTCTACCCTACTTTTATAATTTTCGAATCATAAATCTAATCGATAGATTATAAAAGGGTTTTAGGACGCGTCACTGCACCACTAGAAGCCAACTCCATCGATCAAGCTGAAACTTTCTCTCCCTCTTCTTCTCATGCTCCCTGTCACTCTCCTTTAACTCCTCCGGTGACTTTCTTTTATTTGAAGATTGTTTTTTTGCCCGGCGCTTGGCCGGTTACCGCTGGTATTAAAAACATGTTGGCGAATGGTTAGGTGGCGCGATAGTCTGGGAGCGCGCTCACGGGAGCCTGCTCGCGCTGCGCTCCTCAGCAAACAGCTGTTTTCTTTTCACCCAACAACGACAAGCGACTCACGGAACGCTATGTTGTAGCGTTAATAAACGAAACAATTTAACAAAATTGCTAGTCAAAATACCAATACCACAGGAAACATTTTTTTTTAAACAATATTTTTAGTGGCCCGAGCGGGCAAGTGGAAAGTACGTTATGCTGGCCCGGGGTGTCTAAATAGTGCTTCCGGGCCAGCGGGCCATTTATAATGTCGAGCCCTGATAGGTTCTTAAATATTAAGATCCCCTGAGACACAGTATCGTGAAAAAAAAATGTTTTACATTACGTTTTTTTTACATTACGTTTTTTATGAATTGAATAACAGAAAAATAATCGTTAGATTAGTCGACTAATCGATCAAATAATCGCCCGATTAATCGTTTTCAAAATAATCGTTTCCACCCAGCACTAGTGACTTCGCCTCTCTATTACTTCCAGAACACGTTTCATTGTTTCTGACAGCAACGTTTCTGATTGGCCCGTGGGAGTAAAGCCCGCCCACATTTTAGTAATGTCGTCATGACATCTGACGCAGCAAATCTGGATCAGCTCCGTTTTTCCCCGTTTTTGGAGATGTGGGTACGGAGGAAAAGAGAGAGGGGTTTATTTCTGACACTTTGTGAGTCCCCTGAAACACCGGGGACACACCGGGGACACATTGATGTATAAGAGACATAAAAAAATGCATTTTGCATGAGAGGAGAGCTTTAAAATCATTTGAAACAACTCCAGAGAGGATAATCGGAGCCTGGAGCAGGACTTACTCCAAATAGGAACAGATAGAAACGATGTCCGGTTTTAAATTCTTACCTTTCATCAGCACTTTGTCCAGATTTAAAGTATATAGGTTTGTCCATAGAAAAGTCACTCTTCATGGACACACAGCTGGGTCCAGGTCTCTGGTGCTGCATCCTGATACTGATAAAGAACAGAGTAATAAAAACACCAGACACCTCACACCGCACTTCATGTCATTAACAGCTAGATGGTCCTGGTCCATCTTCAGGTCCAGGTTCTGGTCTAAGTTTAGGTTTAAGTTTCTTCCGCTGCTTCCTGATACAAACAAGTCAAAGTGAACAAAGTGAGCAGATTCTCTCTGGTTCCAGTTCATGGATCAGTTTGCTCTTTCTTTAGCTTCACGTCAGTTTCAGATGTCCAGTTCTTCTCCTTTCGTCCCTCTAGAGGACATCTGACTTAATGCAGAGAAAAAACAACAACAGGAAATACACAACAACACAAGAATCAAAGAAACCTCTCTGAAAGGATGTAGGAAGGTAGAAGAACCAAAGAGCTACAGAACAATGTCTCAGCGTCCGGGAGAATAAACTCTGAACTCCTCAGAAAGAAGCTGATCACGTGACACACTTTACATTCTCACCTTCCCTCTGCAGGACGTCCAGATTTAAAGACAAGAGGGGGATCCATAAACCAGCCACTCTTCATGGACACACAGCTGGATCCAGGTCCAGGTCCAGGTCCAGGTCCAGGTCCTGGTCCAGGTCCAGGTCCAGGTCCAGGTCCAGGTCCAGGTCCAGGTCCAGGTCCAGGTCCAGGTCCAGGTCCAGGTCCATCTTCAGATTCAGATCCAGAACTCTGCTGCTGCATCCTGATACTGATATCAGACAAAGATAGAGATGGCGTCTCCTCTCAGTTAACACGAGTCAGCAAAATGACTCCTAAACCCGACTAAAATGAGTTCATTCATTAATACATGTTTTTTACCACGTTAGAATGCTGATTTTAAAAACAATGATGAGAGCAGCTGCTCAGTCATATATTGCACCTAAAACAACAAATAAATCCTGTGTTACGGTTTCTTTACTTCCTCTACAGAAAAAAGGAAAGTAAAATAAACTCTCAGTTTCAGTGTCAGCCTGCTGCCTGCCACTCGTCCTCTGGCAGACTGACCGGACATCATTTCAATATTGATTTAAATTCAACTTTAAATTGACGCCAATCATCGATGTCCAGTGACATTTCTTTATAGTTTTCCTGTCTGACCATCATAATTGGGCTTCTTGTAGATAAAAAAGAATGGGGTTTTCTTAATGTTTTGTTGTGATGGCCGAAAATGTCAGAATCTGTGTTTACCGGCAGTCACATGACAGCGAGTGTTTTGACCCAAAAGGGGCGTGGTCTTGCATAAAGTGTAAAGTACCCGGATGAGTCATCTATGTCAAAATGTTGATTTGAAAACCTTATATTAAAAACTAATTTAATTGATTCTAAAATATTGTGTTTGTTACTTAAAAGTATTGTATTCATTATATAAATGATTTGAAAAGAATATTAATAAATAATAAATTGTAAATTATGGTGTTGATTTAGGGAAACTGATTTTATTGGGTTTTTTTATTGATGAAAAAAAACATATATTTATTTTAAAGGTTTTAATTGATTTAAAGACGTTAAAAAATAAAATGCTATTAATATTTAAAGATTGGCTTTAATCAATGTTTGAAAATGAATTCTTCATATGATAAATGAGAGGTAACATTTTATTTATGGTATTATTTCCACATATTTCTCTCCATTCTTCCTTCTGCCAACAGTGTCGCAGTTTCTCGTCTCCCCCGTTGTTGTGCTTAGTGCGTACGCATGGGTCAGAGTTTGCGTGGAGGACCGCACGTTTTCCCGTCAAGTTAGTATTTTATAAATCGCAAACATTGCGTAGAAACTGGCGTACGCCATTTTTTGAGCGTATATCCCTTTATAAATGAGGCCCCTGAGCCGGCTAAAGTAACTGGATGGCCTACCTGCCTGTCAGCCTTCCATCAGTGCACAAACTTATCCCGTGCCCTCATTGGTCATGTGCGCGTTCGTGTTTGTTGGAGGAGGGGCTCTGTAAGGAAGTGGCAGATTTGTTCCGGCTGTGTATTTTCAAATTCTAGCGCACTCGAGCTGGTTTCTCCAAATTACCCATTAATAAATTAACGTTTAAATTCAAAATATTAACCCACCTTTAAGGATTGTATTGATTTATTTTCCATTTTCATTGATCAAATGTATATATTATCTTTACAAAAACGATGTGTTTTATGGATGAAAATACATCGTGTATTATTTGTATAGATTTAAGGAAAAAAATGTGTTGATATAAAAAGAAAGGAAATTAAGACGTACAGTCTTGTTGGTACTTAACCTCTTAATGCTGCTTTTGATATTTCATTTGTCCTCACACTGACAGACAGCGGCCCAATCCCAAACCACGCCCTACACACTACCCCTCCGTTTGCGTGTTCGCACCGAGGGTCCGCCACATAAAGTGCTGTTCCAAACCAACGAGTGTGGAGCGGTGTGGAGGGGGAGTGGGCTATCAAGCCCTCAAACAGCGAGTCTGCAGCGGTGCTGACTTGAGACCGGTCTCTACCTGACCGGAGTCACGCTGTGTGTGTCCGTCAGGAAACAAGCTCTTAACAAGTAGTTCCAGCTGTGTCATGTCAACAGAGATATCGTTGGAAAGCTGTGTCTCTCCTGCACAATCTCATCGGATCCAAATATGGTCATTTCCTTTGTATCAGCAACCAATCGTGAAAGCACAAAGGGGTCTTAAACCAAGAAACGAAATCTCATTGGCTGGTGTCAATTTCTGACAACGTGATTCGTTCAGATGCGTCACGTGGTGTGCTAAAGCACTTCCTGGTTAGCTTTACGCTAGAAATTTAAATCACAAAATGGCAAAAGAACGGTCGCGGTACTTTATGTTACGTTAGAATGCTAACTTTTGGTGAATTTAGGAGAAATCTACAGACGCAAATAGACAAACTATAGTAAAATAAACACTTAAATGTGTATTTTGTACATTTTCCATCCAAAAGCCTGAAAGAAAACATGTTATAGAATCAAAATAGCACAAAATCTCAAAATTGACCAGTGCATGAAAAACGATGTTTTTGCCTGCTGTGTCTCGCCTTAAGCTTTGTTAAGCTAGTTAGTTTAGTAACGAACGTAATGTAACAGTTGTACGGTTCTAGCTTTTCTCAGACGCGGAGGGATACTGACTTGTGAAAAGTTACTACAATAGAAGAAGGTTTTAAACTGGAACACAGGAAATCTGTAAGCAGCAATATATCTGAGTGCAAGCGTACAGTTTGAGCAGAAGCAGAGCAGATCTAAGTGCAAGCAGGCACTATTTGAGTGTGAGGACAGGGTTTGAGGGAAAGAAATACATATTCTGAACCTGAAATCAATAAATTATGCCCTCAAATTTAAAGACCACGCTCTTGAATAAAGATAGGGAATAACCCCCATAAATGTGTGCATTTTATTATAAAGTTGTGTATATTTACAGACTGTTGCAAAAACTAAGAAGCTTATAAACATCAGGTTTAAAACTAAAAAAGCTTTACAAAAAAGTAACACAATTAAAGATGTTTGGAGTTTTATTTGAGTTATTAATGTTAATGTTTTGTCTAAGAGATGCTGATTTGAAACCGTTGTTACATACAGTTACGGCACTTCCTGTTTCTGCCGGAGAGAGGGGAGGCCGTCCCAAAGCTTGCCGCTGTATTTACTCCCTCCATCTGACAGGAGGGAGCCTCGTGTGTCACTCCACGGAGTTCACTCCGTCACGGAGGGGGAGTGTGTAGGGGGAGTGTGTAGGGGGAGGGTGTAGGGCGTGGTTTGGAATTGGGCCTGTCTCATCTAATTTCTTAAGTATTGACTTTAGTTAGCATGGTAGCATGTTGTTAGCATGCTGTTAAAGCAGATGATGTTGGCTAACTGTCTCATCAATACTATCTATAACTGTTAGCATGTTGTTAGCATGCTGTTAAAGCAGCTGATGTTGGCTAACTGTCTCATCAATACTATCTATAACTGTTAGCATGTTGTTAGCATGCTGTTAAAGCAGCTGATGTTGGCTAACTGTCTCATCAATACTATCTATAACTGTTAGCATGTTGTTAGCATGCTGTTAAAGCAGCTGATGTTGGCTAACTGTCTCATCAATACTATCTATAACTTTTAGCATGTTGTTAGCATGCTGTTAAAGCAGCTGATGTTGGCTAACTGTCTCATCAATACTATCTATAACTGTTAGCATGTTGTTAGCATGCTGTTAAAGCAGCTGATGTTGGCTAACTGTCTCATCAATACTATCTATAACTGTTAGCATGTTGTTAGCATGCTGTTAAAGCAGCTGATGTTGGCTAACTGTCTTATCAATACTATCTATAACTGTTAGCATGTTGTTAGCATGCTGTTAAAGCAGCTGATGTTGGCTAACTGTCTTATCAATACTATCTATAACTGTTAGCATGTTGTTAGCATGCTGTTAAAGCAGATGATGTTGGCTAACTGTCTTATCAATACTATCTATAACTGTTAGCATGTTGTTAGCATGCTGTTAAAGCAGCTGATGTTGGCTAACTGTCTCATCAATACTATCTATAACTGTTAGCATGTTGTTAGCATGCTGTTAAAGCAGCTGATGTTGGCTAACTGTCTTATCAATACTATCTATAACTGTTAGCATGTTGTTAGCATGCTGTTAAAGCAGCTGATGTTGGCTAACTGTCTTATCAATACTATCTATAACTGTTAGCATGTTGTTAGCATGCTGTTAAAGCAGCTGATGTTGGCTAACTGTCTCATCAATACTATCTATAACTGTTAGCATGTTGTTAGCATGCTGTTAAAGCAGATGATGTTGGCTAACTGTCTCATCAATACTATCTATAACTGTTAGCATGTTGTTAGCATGCTGTTAAAGCAGCTGATGTTGGCTAACTGTCTCATCAATACTATCTATAACTGTTAGCATGTTGTTAAAGCAGCTGTTGGTGTCTAACAGTCTCGCTAATAGCATCTTAAACTGTTAGCATGTTGTTAGCATGCAGTTAGAGCAGCTGCAACTGTTGTCATCAATAATATAAATAACTGTTAGCAATAAACACATTAGAGAGATGAGTCTAAGGTGAGAGCAGAGATCAGCTGAGAGTCATTTCACTAGGAAAACGGTCACTTACCAAGAGTTTAACGAGGAGGGAAACTTCTGCGTCACAACGAGAACAAAGTGAAAGTAACTTCTGACACCGGAAGTCCCCACAGAGAACAGGAAGGGAGAGAAGTTGATGTGAATACATCAGCTCCATCCTGTGGCAGCTCATGGTATCAAAACCACTGTCAGTGCATATTAAAGGTCTCCTATTATGCAAAATACACTTTTTTGTGTCTTTTATGAATAAATATGTGTCCCCGGCCCGGTGTGTAGGAGATTCAAAAAGTGTCCGAAAAAACAACCCCCCCTTCTTTTCCTAGCCCTATAATATATTGTTCACATATAGCATAATAGGTGAGCTTTAATCTCATATATACATCTCAGTTCTTAGACCGGTTCTGACACACCCTGCATTTCCACTGATGATGTGTGTTCTCCATGTTAGTGATCTATGATAACAATCAGACTGCTGCTCATTCTACCTGAGAAACACTGACAACAGAACATGGAACTCTTTCTAAATGCATTCTGCTTTAACTCAGAGAGAAACACAATATTTCAAACAGATATTTAGAATCAGCATGAAGAAACGTGTCCAGGTAAACAGAGACACAGCACAATGTGATCAGAGTGATCCTGATGATGAGACAGATTCCTCTGGGAGGATTCTCACCTGCTG